AAAACCTCACCGGTGGATTCAGTGACAGGTGCAAGTTCTTTGGAGCAACTGACCGAAACAAGAGGATTCTTTTCTCACGGCTCAGGCCCCTTTCAACTGTTGTGCAGCAATGTCAATAAACTTCACCGCTGTCTTTGACAGTTGCCGCTCTCTTTCATGCGTTGTATCGCGGCGGACGCGGGTTGCTTTCGCCACTTGCTACGACAACCTCACCTGCGCAAATAATCAGGACGATAACAAAATGAACTAGGAATGTAATAAATCGGGTATACATTTAAATGTTTAACGTTGAACTTTTTAACTAGATGTATAGGAAACGTAGGACCTGCAGCACTAGAAACATACAAACAACCCTTATAATAATAATAATAATAACCAGAGGTGTGGACTCGAGTCGCATGACTTGGACTCGAGTCAGACTCGAGTCATCAATTTGATTTAGACTTTAGACTCGACTTGACAAGATGTAAAGAGACTTGCAACTCGACTTGGACTTTAACATCAGTGACTCGTGACTTCACTTGGACTCGAGCCCCTTTGACTTCGACAAGACTCGATCATTTCTCCAAAACCCAAAGTGATCTGTGTAAATATATTGTTATTTTGTTTAAAAGGACTCGAAAGGACTCGAAACAGAAACGGCAGGACTTGGGACTTGACTCAGACTTTGCCCGTCTTGACTTGAGACTTGACTCGGACTTGAGTGCAAAGACTTGAGACTTACTTGTGACTTGCAAAGCAATGACTTGGTCCCGCCTTTGATAATAATAATAAAATTAATATCAATCATAATCATAATAGTCATAATAATAAAAGAATAACAATATAAAACGTCTTCATATAAATAGTATTTATTTTACGTAAAATAAAGTACAGCTTATACACATCATATCGCGAAAACTGTTAAATACTACTTTCTGTTTTGGACAAATAGTGTTTGATATTCTCCGCAGAGATGGTTGAAATGATTCTGTCTTTCAGATTTCCAAGCTTGAATAAACGGGCACTTCAAACTGCGTCGAACAAGGAAAATACTTGAGGAACATGCAATTCGTCAATTTAGAAGAAGAAAAACAAGTAAGTTGAACTAGTTTTCTGTCAAGGAAGGAAGACTACATCACTCCTGAACCCTGCGAACGTGTCTTCATACAAGGTCAAACACGAAGAAGAGGATGCTCCAGACGTTCAAGCTCCTGCGGACCTGCTCAGGAAGGTAACTGTATGGAGTTTGTATTGAGGTGTTTAAAAACACAAATATCTGAATACTAAATTCAAGTGAGGATATTTTTTTTTTTGTTTGTTCTGAGTTTCTGGCAGCTGTGAATCGGCGAGACTTGAACGTGGCACTTCTGCTCTGTCAGATGAGTACGTATCCGTCATTTATACCGGGGGTGTCAAACATACAGCACACAGGCCACAACCGGTCCACTAGGGGGTGCAGTCCGGCCCACCTGAGTGCACCGGAAAAAAAAAAAAAATTGTACATACGTAGGCCGTACTTCTCTATAAGCCGCAGGTGTCCACGTTGTAACATTGTAACATTACACGTTAGCTCTTTCCTGCTTCTGCGCTCCGAGCGCTTAGCGATCTGCTCCAGGGCCGTAGCTAACGTTAGCTGCGGGGCTAATTCCCTTCACTTTCAGTAGCTAACATTAGCTGCGGGGCTAATTCCCTTCACTTCTCATTTCAGTTCTCATCTATGAACCAGAGAACCCTGAGGCGTCTGAGTTTCTTCTCCTTATTCAGAAGAAGCTGTTGGAGAGTGAGTATCCAAGCTATATACACATGATCTAACTGCAATTTGGAAAAAAAACAAATAAATATCAAAACGTGCACTTTCCTTAAGAACGATGCGAAGATGACGCTGCAGGAGAAGAGACCGACAGTGATGACGATGACGACGACGATCCTGGAAGCGACGGGGTGCACTGCAGCCTCTTCTCCTCGTCTTCGTTTTCATCATCCGATGCTGCTGGGAAAATAAACGCATGATCTACAGGAACAATAATATACTGTCACTTTTTTTAAAAACAAGTAGAGAAAATGAGAAATATTCGTATCTCGGGAATTTTGTGTTTGACTACTATCTTTAGAAATAATTACATAAATTAGACATTAGACAAATAGAGCCTAAACATTTACATAAATATTTGAAAATGATGAAAGCATGCCGGGTTTTGAGCATGCGCAATTGGGTGATTTTCGTCACGGGAAAAAAAAAATCGCTTCAATCTTGATTAATGTGCGTGTATGCCACACGGGGAATACACACGCACGTGAAAATCGTAAAAATAAGATTCACTAGTCCGTTTGCGGAAATGACGTCATTTTTTTTCAAACATGGCGTCCTAATTTACCTCCGGCCTTAAACACAGCGATTTTTAAAAGATTTGAAGTGAAAACACGGGCTGTCATGAGCTAACTGCATCCTAGAAGTTCGTATATCATATAATATTTGTTGTAACAGTCAAAACTAATCAAATATATAACTTATTACAGCGATTTTTAAAAGATTAGAAGTGAAAACACGGGCTGTCGTGCGCTAACTGCATTCTAGAAGTTCGTATATCATATAACATTTGTTGTAACTGTCAAAACTAATCAAATATATAACTTATTCTTGAGAAATACTTTTTAAATAGGGTTTTCTTCTGTGCGCATGCGCAGTAGAACCCAATCCACCCAATCCATAATGTGAGCAACGAAGCGAAACGATACAAACTACGCGGTTGCATTAGGAACAAAAAAAAAAAACATCAAAGACCAACCACAAAAACCAACAGAAATTCACATATACTGTTGGTTTTAAAAAAGAAAGCGCAATAAAGATGTTTTACCTGGCATAATGAATAATCGTGGTTAATAATCGTGATTTCAATATCGATAAAAAAAGCAACCAAAAAAAAAAATCGTTATACTTTATGCAAAGTCAAAACAAGATTCGTGTCGATATACCATTTATATATATATTTAACAATTTCTTTATTTTTGGGGTAACACACTTTCACGTCCAAGACCTGTGACACAACACCTTTACCTGGAGAGAGAGACAGAGAGCGAGAGGAAGAGAGAGAGAGAGAGAGAGAGAGAGAGAGAGTTGGGGGAGGCGGGGGTAGATGGATGGTGGGTGGCTTTACGTCAGTGCTCACTGTTATTTTCTCTCCTGGCAGTTTAGCCTCCTTAAAGTGGACGGTGTCAGTCAGTGTAACACTCAGGAAGGCTTCATTAGCCGTCGATGGAAGGCAAAAGGCTGTGACTCACGCCTGCGTGGAGAGGAGACCAAACGGCAATCGGAGCCCGAGGTAGAAATAAAGGGGGGACAAACAGCACAGAATATACAGATCTCTCTCTCTATATATATGTACATATATATAGAATAAATATATATATAAAAAGCTGTTTTAGTCGATTTGGATTTTCTTTTTTGTCTTATTGCCATTGGACAGATTTTGTTGTCGTGCCATTTTTTTTTTATTTTTTTTATGCCAAGTCTAACTTATGGGTCTGCTTTCTCTGGAGGAGACAACCTGTGAGCTGGTAAGATGTTTGCGCCCTTTACGTGCGACTGTTACCTATAAGATTATCGATTGTTATCGAAATATTTGTGATGAAAATATGTTCAAAAAATATAAAAAAAATAATGAAATCGCAGATTTAAGATAAGACTGATTGTAGGAATTCAGGACATGTCCAGCATCTCTGTGTCCTCCACACGGTGACATTGAGTAATGACAGTGATGGAGCGTATGCTGGTGTAGACATACAAAGAAACGGAAATGTCGAAAGCTGAATCAAGAGGCGCGTTAAAAGAATTAGCTTGGATTTTTTTTAAAAAATATCGTGAATCTGACTTTTGGAAATCTCTTTTTATTTCTTAATCATACTTTGTGAATCATGTATTCCTAAATAAACGGGATATTCTAAATCATCAGAAATAAATGTCGGATGTCATGCAATTTGAGGTTTGTCAATAATCCAATGAAATACATTCATATAGCCGCAATATTCGACCTATAAAAATTACAAAATACATTCACATGTGTTTTAATTGTGTGTCCATATTACATATGGCCTTTTCAACGTGCCATGGTGCGCAAATCTTTCCACGCTGCGCGCCACCCAGCAGCTGTCTGTAAAAAAAAAAAAAAAAAAAAAAAAAAATGGTTCCCTCAGTAGATAACATCTTTTTCAGATCGCAAGCCGGTCATTCAAGTAAACTGATAACAATGCAATTATTCACAGGGAGAGAGAGAGAGAGGACGGGGTGAGAGAGAGAGAAAGAGAGCGAGAGAGAGAGAGAGAGAGAGAGAGAGGGAGGGAGGTCAAATGTGTATATCGTCTGGAGTTGGCCATTCCTAATCCTGGATCCTTTTATTTTCCATCTGAATTATCTGTTCTAACCAGGAATAGAAAAACAACAGCTGGCTTGAAAGATGGCCACATCCGAACCGAGAGCCACCGACGGGGATCAGGACCCGAACTCTGCCAATTTAAGACCTGCGTCCACAAGTAGGTCCTCAACCTCTATAAATAACACTATTCCTGCTCCGGTATCGATCTTCTTGGGCGAGATTCTCGTTAGGCGCGCAAGGAGTGAGCTCATTGATCAGCTCCGAATGTCACAGAGCCGTGATACCTGGTCAAAGACACTTAAAAAAAAAAAAGACAGTCCAGGCTGACCACTATCTCGCGTCTCTTCTTTTCTTTTTTCGTTGCCTCTGGCTGGTTTAGTCACTCTCTCCCAGGCCATTTGCTGCGTGGGGTCCGTCGTTAATCATTCCGGTTAAAAACAGAGCCATCACAGCCGCCTGTCGCTGTCTGGCTGGATCAGCAACGCGCACCGTCGAGCAGAGGAGCTGGCGCAAAAGATAATGACACGTGTTTACAATGGTGATTTAGTACACTTGAACGCTGCTTCAATAATGAAGTTAATAACATCAATAATGATGATAATAATAACAGTAATTATGATTTGTTTTTATATATAGGGATAGAAATATATACATACAGTAATAATAACAGTAATTATGATTTTTTTTATATAGGGATAGAAATATATACATACAATTACAAGGTACATTTTCGATATTTTTTGTAATGCCATAAATTTAAAAAATGGCACGAGTACTTAATTATTCTTTATCATAAAAAATATACAATTTTTTTATATATAGTTCTTTTTTTAGTTACGCCAAATATAGAGAAATATCACGAGTACTCAATTTTTTTTTTTATCACGGGCCTAAATCTTTTAAAGCTTAAATTGGGAAACCATTTTATATCGTAATTGTTCCCGCCCTTTCTGTGGTTACTGTTACTGTGGGGTTCTTCGAGCAGACGTCTATTCGAGGTTTTCTATGTGTGCTGAGCCAACTGATAGAAAACACAGGTTGTCGAAGGCCATTCGGCGTAAATTAAAATGTTCGGAATGTTCTCGACGTCGAATGTTTATTCGTTTTTATTCCGCCCGAACTGTATACGTTGCCTTCGGATGTGCGACACAATATAAAGTTATGTTTTAAGGTGGGTAAACCAAAAATGGCTGCTTTGGTCGTTTACTGCTGCTGCTGCTGCTGTGGTTGTTTCAATTATCTCTGCTACGCGTGTATAAATTCATATAAACCACGTTTTCTTTTTTCTGACGTTGGTCAGTTTTCCATCAGGCGCCGACCTTCGTACGCAGTGAGCTGCTGTAGCCGCTGGGGTTGTTTTGTTTTTTACGTATGTGTGTTTGTTTTGGGGTTGTTGTCTGCGGTTTGTGGGCGGTTTGTTTGTTTTTTTCGTCTTTATATACTTATATACATTACTTTCTGTATCCACTTGTGCTTCGCTGCACACTCTCCCGGGACCAAGCACAGACATCACGCAGTCTGCTCTTCTCACACACTCCGCTTCACTCAATTAATTTTTGCCATCCCGAGTGAGCTCATTTCAAGGGTGTTAATTCCACTCCGCCCTTCGGCTGGGTGTGTCCGCGGATTGGCCCCACGAGCCACTGTCGCTCCCTATTGATCCAACCGATTCGGAAACTCACACAGACAGTTGTAAATAAATATACATATTAAGTTGGGGAAAAAAAAATATTATTTTCTCAACCTCAGACCGCCTTGTTCGACGCTGCGTCCGCGTTCTGTTGCATTAAAAAAAAATGAACCGCTTAATTTTTTTCTAGCCAATGAATATGCGTGGATGCACGGCTGCACACGGAAGCTGGGGATGAAGATCTGTGGTAAGTCGTTATTTTTTTATTTTTTTTTGCATGAACGAAACGCTGCTCCCATTGACACATGATACAGTTTTGGAAATGTTATTTGTGCCAGTAGTATATTTTTCGAATTTTCTCCATATATTTTTTTTCAAGAGTTCTTCATTCCTGTATAATCATGACAGTGTGAGAGGCCTGTAGAGACAGGGTCAGTGAAAATAGGCTGTGGTCACAGACGCGCTGTCACTGTGCGTTTCCGTCTCTCTAAAGGTCATTGGATATTGGCCTGTGGGTCTGGAGATGACTCCCTCTATTCCCCTCTTGAACCTGGCACGTCTTTTCCATTTCGACTACAAATAAAATCCACAAGACATATCTGGAAATATATCCATATATAATGGCGCTTTCCCCTAAGTTATTATTATTATTATTATTATTATTATTATTATTAGTATTATTATTATTATTATTATTATTATTATCCAAGTGAATATGTTTTCACTTCTATAACAGTAGTGTTGACAAGATAATTTATAAGATAAGATAATGCTTTTATCGTTTTCTACGCCATCTATTGGGGAAACGTGGGCATTGCAGGGAAATGGCAGAAGCGTAATGATAATATAAATAGATTAGATAATTTGGAAAAGGTTGGCGGTCCGGATTAAAAAGCAATAGTCAATAGTCAATAAATGAAAATAGATCTTTAACATGTTGTTTTTATAGTTAAGTTTTATTTGATTACATTATTATTTTATTCATTCGTTTGTCTTTTGCACTTGCATTGAAGCAATAATAGACAACTGCATTTGTGCCTTGGTCTTTGATTGCAATAAATGAAAATAGATCTTTAACATGTTATTTTTTTAGAGTTAAGTTTAAGTTTCATTTGATTACATTATTATTTGTTTATTGTTTATGATTGTCTTTTACAGTTGCATTGAAGCGATAATAGTTCAATAATTTAATAATGCCGGACCACTGCATTTGTGCCTTGGTCTTTGATTGGTCATAAGGAACCAGATTGGATTTCATTAGATTCAATTCAGATTAGATTAACTTTTTAGGATGTAAAAGGATAACATTCATTTTTCAGTGTGTCTTTTATGCCCTTGAATTGACATTGTCAAGTAAAAAAAAAAAAAAAAATTTTTAAAAATAAATACGCAAAGCGAAATGTAGTAACGATCCCTTTTAACCTATTTCCTACAACAAAAAATATCTATGCATTCCCCCCTGATGGTAAACAACACGGCAGGAGACTTTGTCATGTTTTGCAGACAACTGCGATACGCTTGCATACGGTTGGATGGATGAGGTAGAGAATCAAAGGGCCGCTGCAGGCAGCTCCGTATATCTGTCATTAACCCCTTTTGTATGGGCTGTGTATTTATGGTCTGCACGGCTCATCACTTTGCTACTCAGTCGGTGGGCTGTGGACAGGACCGGAGGATCAGGGAAGGGTGAATCGCATCTCCCTCCTCCACATCCTTCATGATCTTCACGCGGCTGGGTGGCTAAGAATGTAGACGGAAGTGTGCTTGTGGGTCCAAAAAGTTTAGTCTGGCTCTTTATTGTTGTATAAGAGATGTTAGATGATAACGCCTGCCTGTCACCACGTAATATCTTAGGGTTCCTACAGAAGAATAACAATATGGAGGAGAAGGGCAGGATGACCGGAGAGAAGAACCTGCTGTCCTGCAACAACCGTGACAGGGACGCGCACTTCACGCACGCCGAGACCGATTTCTCCAACCTGTTCGCCAGTGGTAAGAGCTGCAGGAGTGCTATTGCGGGATGTCCGATATTTACGTTTTGCCGATATTGTCCAAACACTTTCATTTCTGATTCCGATATCTACCCATACCGACATAGGTCGGGTAAAATATTTATCTGTACGAACCACTGTATACGAGTGCGAGATTAATTCAATAAATGAGCTGCAATGCTGCCATCTAGTGACTTTCAGTTTAATACACAGTTGTTTTTCCCCCCAAAACTATTTCATTTGGTGAAAGCGAAGCATTGCGTTAAAATGTTAAATCACACATTTCCTGATCCTGCGATGTGAAATGTGACTGTTTGGGAAGTTCTTATCTTCCGGATATATAATCGGATAAATTCTTAGCAAGAATTTATGATCCCATATCCCATAGCCGTTACACGCAGTACGATTAGGATAATTGTGGTATTAAGGGAAAAAAAACTGTCCCACTTAAACAGGTCACTAAACTCAGTCCTAAAACTCTAAACTGCATTTAGGTTAAAATGTAATCGTCCTTTCTTAGACCTGCTGCCCGCCAAAAACGGAGAGGAGCCCACCATCCAGTTTCTGCTGGAGGTGGTGGACATCCTCACGAACTACGTGAAGAAGACTTTCGACCGCTCCACCAAGGTGCTGGACTTTCACCACCCTCACCAGCTGCTGGAAGGCATGGAGGGCTTCAACCTGGAGCTGTCGGACCAGCCCGAGTCCCTGGAGCAGATCCTGGTGGACTGCAGGGACACGCTTAAGTATGGCGTGAGAACAGGTGAGACAGTACATACGTGGACCTTTGGAGTTTCTTTACCGTCTTGTGGAGAGAATTTTAAAACTGGGGTTGCCATTTTGAACTGCGATTGATTTCTTTTTTGAATTTAATTTTTTAAAAAAACAACAAAAAAACACTTGCATCTTGCGGTAAAAACCATAATCTTATTAAGATCTTACCATGCATTCTCTATAGCACATGTCAAACTCGAGGCCCGGGGGCCAAATGCGCTCTATTGAATAAAGTCCATGTGGCTGAGTTTCTTAATCTGATCAATTAAAAGCTTATTATTTATTACGCAGAGAAATGAACAACATTCGTAGCCTTAATAAATAACAGTCAATTGCAGATACATATTATTTATATGTTTTAACTGGAAAAAAAATCTATACAAATAAAATATACAACAGTCAAGCTCATAGGTTAAGATAAGTAGTAAGGTAGTTGGTAATAATTCAAATCCAGTGCCAGTCTTTTTGGTTTTTGTGCTACTTTTTAGATGAATAAGACTGGGTAATATTTGTGATGATAACGAGTTAACAAAATTTTACTTTGTTGTTTTCTTTTTTTTTTTTTTTGGCCTTTGGGCCTTAGGTTGTTTTACAGATAGTGTACAGCTTTTTTTTTTTTTTTACAGTAAAAGCAATATTTATTCATTGTCCCTCTCCCCCTTCCCCCCCCCTTTTGTCCCCTGTCAACCTTATTAAAGCAAGTATGGCCTGAGGGTGCGCTAACATGCTCTGTTCCAAGCTGTTAAAAAAACAACAGAGCTCAAACTCCCCCCCCCCCATGGGTTTCATAAATCACACACAGGGTCGCATGCTGTCACTTCACACCAAAGACATTTTTCTATCGACAAACAAACATTTGCAATTGGGTTAGAGTAGGAGGAGCTGTCGGTGGTGCTGAAACGGAGTCCAACGGTTCTCCTGTCTCACTACCTGCTTTGCTTTATTTGGTTTATTTAAAAGGGACAGCATGTTTATATATAAATTTTGCTGTACAATGCAGTCCAAATTATATTCAATTTTTTTTACATGTGTGCTGGCTAAAATCATTTATATGCAGTGCTGCTAACTTTTGGGTATGTTATTTAATTTTAACTGACTTTGCTATGTATTTTCACTTGAATACTTGTAAGGAAAATAATTGGGGGGAAAAAAATATTTTCCTGTGCAAAACAGCATTTTGTATCATTTACGAAGCACTTTGCTTTCATTCATTTATGCGATATATTTTATTTAGCATCTTTACTAACTGTACCAACTTTATTTGGCAAACATATATTCTACTGATTTCGTCTTTAATGCATTTTTTTTTTCTTTCAACTAATGCTAATAAAAGCCTCCCCGAAAGGGCAGTTACTTCTCGGGTGGTTCTTAAATGTAAATACCAGAATTCTTAAATTCGTAACAAAAACAGGTTCATCTCTTTTGTGCTATAAGCTCGTGCCGAAGATGACTGTGATGACCTTTGACCGTTGAGCCTAACCTTGTTATCTAGTTCAGGCGGTACGAAGCCAAAGCAAATACTCTTGTTTAGGATTTACATTACTTTTTTTTTTTTTTTTTGTCACCAGCAGATGATTACATTTGCAAGTCCCCTCCTCAATTCAATTTCAACACATGCGTGTGTTTTTTTGTTTTTTTTTTCTGTGTGCAGGTCATCCTCGCTTTTTCAATCAGCTGTCCTCCGGTCTGGACATCATTGGTTTGGCTGGAGAGTGGCTCACCTCTACTGCTAACACCAACATGTAAGAGTGCTCAGTTTTGTGTGCTATATATATATATATACATATATACATGACAATATTTACTAATTATAAATTAAAATATTAATTTAATATGAATAATAATATTTATTAAATATATATTTAAATATATATTATATATATTTAAATATATATTTAAATATATATTTAAATATATTTAAATATATATTTAAATATATATAAAAATTATAATATTTAATTATGATAATATATACATGACATATTTATGGAAACGAGGCGAAAAAACACCTCTTACGTCTTAAGTTGAGTCAAAAGTTTCACATTATCAGTGCAGACAATATTTGGATACCGAATGGAATCGCAATAACATCCTCCTTTGCCTTTGTCATGTCTTTAAACACGTACAAAATTGGATGCGTGCCCCCCACTTTGGGAACCTCAGTGAAGTCAGCGAGTTATATTTTATATTAGTTCTTGAATAACAATATATTTTAAAGAGAAACCAGCGTCAGGTCTGGATGAGGTCCTGCAGTTAGCCGAGTCACAGTAACCTGCAAATCTGTGTCACATGTTTGTGGGCCACTGGAAACAGGCCTGCAGGCGTCATCGCGGTGTAAATCCAGTGTTGTTGGTGATTGCATTCTCCTTTAGCTCATGCCTTCAAAAAAGTGTGTATGTGTTTGGTGGTGACAGATAGTGTGGTTTACGTAAAGTCCGCCTCTGGGATGGTTTGATTGCATATTGATCTCAGATTGTGGCGACACGGTGGCCCAGTCAGATAGGGACAACGTTGTTGTTTTGGGGCTGGAGTTGGAAAATGCAGGCAGGACCCATATAAGTATATTTACTTTGCTTAAATTCTACTCAAGTAAACGTAAACAGACCCCCATTAAAAAAAAAAATATAACTAGTCAACAAGAGGCTCATAAATTGTACTCCCTGAAGTACTGTAGTCCTCAGTTTCAAAAAGGTGACCCCTGGACCCCCTAGAGTCTGTCTCTTCTTCAGCATTTTATCGGGCTACATTCAGATAGTGGGAAATCACGGTGAAAATAGTTGAGTTTAACTAAAAGGAAAATGATCATTTCACGAAAACTTGCTGGAACCTCAGCTCGGGCAGCAAACGACTGCATATATTGGTATCAATTGCTATCGAAATTGTAAATTGGACAATATCAGCAAAAAGTTCATCTCGGAGATCCCTGATATGTCTCCACGGATGTCCCTATAGACGGTCCTAGACCCCTGAACCTGGATCAAATCCCCCGCAGCCCTAAAAGTTTTTTTTTCAGCTTGTATTAATTGCCTCGCGTCCATCCTTGTGCTTTTAATATCATCACTTTGACGGAGGTGACTGTGACATTGACTGTGGTGTAGAACATCATCATCATCATCATGGGCAGCTGACCTTACATGCAAATGTCCTGGTTGTCATTCCTGCCACTGCCACACCGCACGCAAATGTGCCCCAAGTGTAAATGAGTTGATGGTCGTTTAAACTTGGATAAATGAAAAAAAATATATATATATATATATATTGTGTTGGATTAGATATTCGAGCAAATGGCTTTGAATGAAGCCGGTTCTAAATTAAGGTTTTTTGGCATAATCTATAATATTTTAGACGTTTGCCGATAGGTATCGGTGCCGTGGCTTAGTTGGTCAAAGCGCCTGTCTAGTAAACAGGAGATCCTGGGTTCGAATCCCAGCGGTGCCTTTGTTGCCGCTGTTTAATCTCAGCTGTGTTCTGTTTCACAAAGATGGAGAGCAAAAATAGGAAGACCTGGTTTTCTGAGAAGAAATCTTTATGGAAAACCTCCGCAAAAGGCCTCAAATACAGCAACAAAACAGACAGAATCATCCAACTGGATGAAAGCAAAGTCATTTGCTTATATCAAAAATACATGGCCTTTTAAAGGAAATTGACCCCCCAAATCTAGAACCTTCCCCTCTTCTGTGCCAGTTAACCCTGCCTCTCTTTAGTTTTTCAGATCTCCTGCACGATCCGAGACTGTTTTGTTTTTAAATGTCTGCCGACTTTGTATATACAGACATCAGGCCCGTCCCTGAAACACCGGCACGGTGACGCTTCCGCACCAGCTCTGGACGGCCCAGATACTGTATCTAGGGCTTTCCAGTCCATTGACTACAGACTCATTGAGCCCTGGTGTGAGCAGATAGGACCAGCTGGGCTCCTCACCCCCCCCCCATTGCCTGTGTGTCAGCAGAGGGTGGCTGCTGCAGCTCCCTGCGGGGCGTTAGTTCTGCCTCTTTTGTCCCTGCGGACCCCGAGGAGCCAAGAGGAAGGAGGAGGGTGTGTGGGTGTGTGTGTGTGTGTGTGTGAAAGTATTTTAATCTTTTTAGATATGGGCATTTAGGGGCCATCCCTGGAGACAGACGGGTGACTAAGGGGTAATTTTCAACCGAAAAAGAGCGCTATGATTGGCTGTGATTGTAATAATGATAGCAATTATTGTCATTTAAAGCGTGAAATTGACGGAGCAAATGAGGCTGAGGCTTAGATGAAATCCATTTAAAGACACTATGACCCAGTTTTTCACGTGGAAAGTATTTTAATCTTTTTAGAATAAAATTGTTGTATTTTATATTTAACCCTTTGATGCATGACCCATGATATACTGAGTTTAAAAAATGTTACTAAGTGTTTTTTATGTGTTTTTAGACATAAAAATATAAGAACTGATTTGGTTCTGTTTTTATACACCAAATTTTCTTTTTGAATGTTGACACAATTATTCTGCAGTTGCAAAGGCTGACCTCTGTATGGCAGTGTTGGGTGATTCTCAGGCGTCCACTGTAGAGGCTTATATGCAGCACTGCCATCAAAAACTATTCTTATCATAGAAAATGACATTTTTCATAGCTGTCCACTGTAGTGACCGTCATGCATGAAAGGGTTAATTTATTTGTAAATATGTGCAAATATATTTCTTAAAATATTTTTTTTTGGCAAATTCTGTAGGTAAAGGACATATTCGGTATTTATTTGCAAAGTATGATGGGAATTGTGTTCGTGCAAAATTCAAATTGCGTAGCACGACAACACTAGATAACTATGATTCCACAATAGGATAAATATGGGATGTAAATATGGGATGTCCTTCTTTGTCTCCTTTTCTTCTCAAAGTCACACACTCTCTTTATTCTTTCATTCACTGCTTCTTCTTTTCATTTTCCTTCCTGTTTACTCTCCACTTTCTGCTTCCATATCAGGCCCCCTCTCCCCTCGAGGGGCCATCTTTTCTTTTTTACCCCCCTGTTCCTGTTTCTTTTTTTGTGTGTACAGCTCTGCCCACTCCCATCTTCCTCTCCTCTCCCTTTTTTTTTTTTACATCGCAAAACTGCTTCTTGTTAGATAAACAGTGCAAACAGGGGGGAAAAAAAATGGAAAAGACTAAAGAAGATAATGCCCCTGTGTTGATGGGAGATAAGTAGGAATTCTGTCTGTGGTGGTGGCTGATAGGAGTCCAAAGGGGGTAGATTAGGGGTGGGGGTAGTTGTGTATTGGCCCCATTAAAAGCGGTGGTATACAGGGATCAGTCCTGAGGGTGTGAATGCGTGTGGAGGCAGTGAAGTGGACTGTCAGTTTGAAAAGGCTCAGGCTTTATGCGACACACTTAACCTACTTTTGATCGTCCAAGAGTTTCTCTTCTATTTTCTACGGTTTTTTACTGAACTTTTATCAGTATTCAACATACTGGAAAAAGTATTATAATTTTTTAAAAAATGATATAATTCAGGGATGTCCAACCGATATTATTTGCCGCTTAATTATGTGATATCGGTAAGAATTGTTATCGTTTTTTTTCTTGCGATAATGAAAACCCAATAATGAAAACTCGATAACACAACGCCTTGGTTTGGCCCAGATGACGTGACCTGAAAATAGTTTTGAAGTGAAAGTGAAACAACCCAAACGGCTGCATATATCGATATCAGTTGATATCGGAATTGGAAAATATCGGATACCAACGAAAAGTTAATATCGGACATCCTTAAATAAAATGATTTCCAATAATATTATTTTTGGTTTCACAATCTAGAGTTAAACCATTTCAGGGATTTATAACTAACAATAATATCATTAACCCTTTGATGCATGACCCATGATATACTGAGTTAAAAAAATGTTACTAAGTGTTTTTATGTGTTTTTAGACATAAAAATAAGAACTGATTTGGTTCTGTTTTTATACACCAAATTTTCTTTTTGAATGTTAACACAATTATTCTGCAGTTGCAAAGGCTG